TTTTGATTTGGACCTGAAATAAATATACCAGTTTTGAAGTCTATCAAGAACATTTTGACATGTTCTGCTTCCTGAAACGTATCATTGACCTGACGGACTCATTCATTTTCTGAAAATATTATATTAAATTCTGCATCCTCAGTCATATTTAAGCTTATGGAGAATAAGCAAAATAAACAATTGACTTATTTTTTCTGTTATCTATAACCTTCTAAAAGCATTACTGATTTTCTGTTCATCAGTTTGTTTGTTTGTTTTGAATTTCGCTCAAAGCTACACGAGGGCTATCTGCGCTAGCCGTCCCTAATTTAGCAGTGTAAGACTAGAGGGAAGGCAGCTAGTCATCACCACCCACCGCCAACTCTTGGGCTACTCTTTTACCAACGAATAGTGGGATTGACCGTCATATTATAACGCCCTCACGGCTGAAAAGACGAGCATGTTTGGTGTGACGGGGATTCGAACCCGCGACCCTCAGATTGCGAGTCGAGCGCCTTAACCACCGGGCCATGCCGGGCCCTGTTCACCCGAGTAATATTTAGGTACACTGATGTCCAACAGAAAAAAAACAACAAAAGTTCCCGCAAAGCGCAGATTTAAGATTGTTAACCGATGAACACAGTAAAGAAATACAAACAAACATTAGTGTAGTTTGAAACACAAAAATCGTTTATTTTATGTACACAGTGTTATGTTACTAATGTGACAAGGTTCTATTTCCATTTCGTTTGACTGCTGTGGTCGATGAAAGCGAAATTTAGAGGCAAGATGAATTAAAATCAAGAAATAAAATTTTGGAAATACCTAACTTAAATACCCTATTGAAACAAAGAAAGTCAGATATCTCACAAGTTCACAAGTGACATATTTCAATTAAAGTTTTCTACACGCAATATTAAGTCCAGTCAGGTGTACAGATTTCTTTATTATACATATATGCTAGTTTGAGACTAAAATTGCAGTATGTAGTCCCTGTGCTAAAGGATTAGCATGCGTTTGCGACCTGGAGACATTCGGTAAACGTGGGTGTGATTAACTATATGCTTGTTTGTTTGTAATTATGCACAAAGCTACACAATGGGCTATCTGTGCTATGCCCAGTACGGGTATCGAAATCCGGTTTCTAGCGTTGTAAGTCCGCAGACATACAGCTGTGCCACTGGGGGGCTAACTATATGTAGAAACTGCATGGAAGTTTAGAAAATTATTACTTGAATATACCCGAATATGAATATATTCTATAGAAATTATGGAAGGATGAAACTCATGTCTATTTCAGTCATTACATCAGTAACAGCTATGAACAATTGTCAAAATAGGTAGCTGAATTTCCAAGGAAGGCTTAGTTCTTTATAATTAAAATGAAAGAAATTACATATTAGATTCTGTAAATATAAGGTTATAAATCTTTAGTTTGGAAATTTTGAAAATGTTGCAATTCATTCAAGTTTTATGAGAATGGAAGATATTGACTTTTTTTAGAACTTCTATTTTCTCGTGTTTCATGACTTTCTTGCGAGATGTAACGAGATTTAACACGTGTATTTAATAACGTTAGAGGTGCGTAATTATGGAATATCTCGTTCCGGGAATTCAGTGAATGATTATTAAAAAATTATCGTATTTTTATAAATTGGCATTTGTTGTGTTTTTGGGATAAGCCCTATTTTCGGCATTACTGGCCAAACTTCAATCAGTCAGTTGGCAGATTCTGTTTTAGGTAAGATTGATGAAAATATTTTATCCTTTCTCGTTGACGTTCATATTAATTGTTAGTATTACTGTTAGGTTTAGAGTAACCAGTAGTGGTAGTACTAGTAGTAGAACTAGAAGTAATGAAAAACATATTAAATTAAGTACTCTACAATCATGTGTCTGTTCATGTTCGACAAAGGAAATTAAAAATATGTTATCTGGACTTTACATGCCTATGCATACATGATACTAGAGGTTATAGCATACATTACATGATTACATCAGGTATGACTATATCATATGACTCTTATTATGAGTTACCAATACTGCAATTTGCAAATATGCTAATAGTAATACTTATTGAAAGTCAGTACCGCTTATAACTTTAATTTAATTAAGTTTAAATTTAACAAAAGTTAGAACTTAAGTAAGACTTGTCACTCAGACTACAAGTTACGAGCTAAGTTTATAAAAAGTGCATGATGTATAATTTTCATTGCAACTTTAAGTAATTTTTTTTTAAGAATAAGTCAACATCTAGGTTTTAAAATTATAATTTTAAATCTGCAATCCTCTAACACAGTAACAGGCCTAGTAATAATATTGAAGTTTTGTATTTTCAGTTTCTTTATTTCAGTAATTTTAATTTAAATAGACCACACAGACTATTCACTGGGTGAAAAGTAACACTAACAAGCACTGATTTTTTACACGTGTGTAATGATTAAATGCTGTTTACATAGATACCTATTATGAAGGTTGAAGCATCCAAATGGTAGGATTAATAAAACATCTTGTGAAAAAGTATCTTTCATACTGAACAAGAAAATTATCAAATATTTACTTTCAACAAGAAAATTCCCAAATTTGTATTGAAATCTTGTTAGATGACTTTTTAAATGTAATCTAATTGATGACTACTTCTGGGTACATGAAAACTTAGGAATGTTTTTCACCTGTATTTTCAGGAAAAGAAAATCTGTTATTTTTCTTTCTTTGCAATGTAACATAAAAAAAAGTTGCCTATAAACACTTGTAATTAAATTCTTCATCTCATGAAAGTAGTATTTGCATTTGATTTAAACTTGTCTTGCTTTGTACATCAGGTGTCCCTAACTTAATGGCAGCATTATTTAAAAAAAAAAGAAGTTAAAATGTGCCTACCATTTTGATGTTCTGTTTGTCTTTCCTATTCTCAATGTAATGACCTATGTATACATAAGTCACCAGCTGTAATTTTTATGCTTAGTCTGTCAAAGCTCTTAACAATATTAAACATATGATATTCTGAATCAGTCCCACTTTCAATCTTTCTTATGCTACAAAGAAAACAGTTCTAAAATTTTACATGTATCTAAGCATCTTTCTAGCTGCTCCTCTGTGTATCTTTTCCATTTTGAAAATATTTAATATATATATTATACTAAATGTCATAGCTAGGGGAAACCAAATCTGGAAACAGAAGTTCAGAGGAGATTTCATCAAATTCAACATGTTATACAAAGCAATATTAATTTTTCCTGCTGTTAAATTCAAAATTTGTGTAAACATGAAAAAAACAGCAACACAGCCTCTGTTTTGATCTTTTCTTCAAAGCTAAGCACTTGGGAAAGTAGTAATTCAGAACTTGTTGATGAAGCTGAATTATTAAAAAATAACTATCATACAGTAAATGATTCTTTTATCAAATAGAGCCTTGGCAGTGTTAGTGAATGATCAGAATGTGAAAGATTAATTTAATACTTAGAGGGGTAAAATTATGCACTTGGAAATGGAAATTTCTGTGGATTATTTGTGGTTATAATTAATTTATGATCAAAGTAAACTTTATAAACCAGAATTAAACATTAATCCAATAATGAATATATACTGTTTATGTGTTCTTACTTATGATTGTTGCTTGATTCATCATATCTAGATCCTTGATGTTAGTGATATTTTTAGTTGTATTCCCAATAATATATGGCAATTATCATTTATCTTGGGAGATTTAGGTTAGTCCAAACTCCATATATAGGGTTCCCAATTCGGTTCCACAGTGAAGTGTCCTGGACTCTCTACTTTTTTTTTTCGAGAGTTGTAGTGAGAATTTCAAGGATCCCATAGGTAGAATTTCAAAAACTCAAAAAAAGAGAAAAAAAGCTCTTAAATGTTAATGAAAAACTTTATTTACGATGTACACTTCATGTTTACCTTCTGCAAGTGGAAAAGAGCATGTTAATATTCTATGAAAAATTTTATTTACAATTTACACTGCATGTTGTTTCACTTTATGAATGCAAAGTAATTTTCATGATAAAATTAAAAAATAGTTTTCATCTGAAAATTTCCAAATATCATTCACGTAGTCCCTTAAACCTCCTAAATAAATATTAAATGTTTCTTTTGAGAAAAACTTTATATTTTACCTGTTATTTTCTATACCCTAACTCTATATGAGGTCAGTTGATTTGACCGACCTCGTAACCATCATAAGAAATTAGGAAATAATTATAAATTTCCCCTATTTTCTTTCTGGAAAGGCTGCAAATTGTAACAGAAAACCACAATTATTTATCCTAAGTAGCTTAAAACTTGTAACAGTATACATCAATTTTTACTTACATTTTATTGTTTTATTGCCCTTTGAACCATGTCTAACTATTATTCATGCCATATAAATTGCAAATCACATGGAGAACATGCAGCTCACATTAGGGTATTGAATTACATAATGCATTGATTACTCACAAGAATACCTCATTAAAAAAAATCTTAATATTATTATTTATTTTACTTTAGCAATCCTAAAAAGTTTTCAGTTTTTACAATGTACTTACTTTTATAATAACAAATAAAGAATACACATGAAAAACAAGAAATAAAGTACCTACTTGGATCTTTTTTTTCTTCTCTTGATTGTCAATGAAACTTAACCCTACTTTTTTATAATAATTTTATTGCTGCATTAAATAATTTAATTAAATAATGCACCAAAGAACACAGAATAATAATGTGCAAAAAGGAAACAGTGTTCCATAACTATCACAATTTTTCTGGCTTTTTAAATGTAGGACAAAAGCCGTTCAAAATTTATCTAAGATCGTTGATGTGTTTCCCTTGGAAATAAAGTTTTAACTAGAAGGAAAATAGACAATTCTCTATACAGACAACAATGTAATATAATACAACATTTATTTGATGGACAAAAACTTTGGCTTTCTATTGGTTATAAATAATATAGTTTTAGATGTCAGAGAGAACTAATGGCAAATTCTGAAAGAGAGGATGTGACAGACAAGTGTGGCAAGAGGGGACTGATTTTCTATTTTATTGCTCTGTAGCTAATTAAGATTGAAGGCTTCACCTGAATGATGACAACATTATAATGAGTAATTTACATTAAATTTCGTACTTCATGGAGGGTTGGTAAAAAAAATTAGAGAGGAGGGAAGACACATATAACAAACTTTACAATTCTCATACTAGGGGAGATTGAGAATTTGTTTTAAATATTTCCTTTTAAATTCAGAACTTTAAACTTAAGTAATACTAAATTTTGATTTATTACCTATATTCTGATGCAAAGTTTATTCGGTGCTACTATAGCGTGAGGTCTACCGCCATATGTCGCCTACCCAGGTGCAGCCTGAGGTCTATCTCGTTAGCGTGAGGTCTACCGCCATATGTCGCCTACCCCCTTTAATATAAATTTAATTAGAAAACCAATAATCTATTTAAGTCATTCCTAGGATATGTACAAATTAAGTGTTTATTGCTAAAATAAATGTATGGAAATGTGTGATATCCATGAGGGATGGATAATGCAGTGGTAGACCTCACGCTATAGTACTAACGGGAGGTAGACCTCACGCTATAGTAGCATCGTTTATTCATATACATTGATAATAAAGTAGTTGAAACTATTGAATGTAACTCTGTGAAAGGTTGTGACATGCACACTTTTGACTTACCCAAGGTGAAAGGGTTAATCATATGGTACTTTCACGTGGCTTTATTTTCGTACAACATTATCCTTAATGAAACCTTTTAGAAGTTGATTGTGGACAGTTGTGGGCAAACTGCATGTTGTTTAGTTTGTTATGATACAAAGTTGAAAGTGATGTACTTGTGCTTGCCTTGTGTATGGGGCATTTTGTGGTGTGTATTTGGTACCCGGGGGTCAGATTTCATATGCCCTGACAAATTCTCGTGGTTTGGGTTAACTAGAGCCCTGCATATACTAAGTTAACAATACAAAATAATCTTTATAATATATTGAACCAATACAAGTTACTAAAGTATCAATAAACAAAGAACAAGAGTATAACTTGAACACAGACTAGATAGAATATCAAAATGTTCAAGGCACAAACCTCCACACCCTCTGAAAACTGGAAATTTGGTCTTGGTTGTGGTGATAACAGGAGTGTATTAGTGATTTAAAGTAAGCACATATTGTATGATATGCAAACTTTGTTGGAACATAATACATAAATGTATGTAGATTAGCACAATCCCAAAAATATTCAAGGTTTAGACCCATAACCTTAACTCTTTACTTGTTGTTAATTACTGGAGGGGGGAAGGAGACATAATAAAATAAGTCTTATTTTAGCTTGGAACTTGTAAATCAAGTCTTGTGTTTAAAAAAAAAATATCTACTAGAGAACAGTAGTAGTGGTAACAAATATCATTGTGATACAAAATTGGGTTTCTTTGACTCATTTTTGTTCTTTAAATATGCTAAGTTAACATTAAGTAAAAAAAGTTTTAAAAAGGGGAGAATATAGCAAGATAGAACTTAAGAAATCTTAAATAAATTAAATAACTTGTGCACAGATAAAATATTAAAAATAAGCATACAACATTGAATTGTTGCAAAATAAGTTAGCTTCATTAAAAACAAGACACAGCCTTAAAAAAAAGACTTAATCTTAATAATATTAAACATCTTATATTCTGAATCATATCCTGTCCCTCATCAAACTTTTTTATGCAAAACTTTCTTGGACAGAAAAATTTCTAAATTTACAAAAAAACATAAGAAAAGGGAAGATGAAAGAATATCATTTGGGTCATTGAATATGTTGGGGTGCTATAGATTGACTTGGACAAATTTGGCAAATGACCTTTAATTATAGTAAGTGTAAGGTAATACACTTTATTTATACACTTACTAAGCCATATATCATATCTCCACAACCTTCTGAACTTTAACACCACTATTGGGTGATTTTTGATGGAATTTTAGAGGTAGTAATTACAAGCTTTGGAGGCCTAGATTTGGATTTGTTTTTTGGCAGAATTATTTCTCTGAGGACCAAACCTGGTGCCCAAATGATTGTTAAACTTTTGCTACTGTAAGAATATGAGAAAACTACAAGTGAAGAAAAATTTTTATCTTTACTTGAACCCATGATATGCAACTTACATTAGCATCCTGAAACCAGTGTTCAACCATACGAGTTACCAGGACTTCAATGTGATACCATTAATAATGATACAGTAATACAGAAACTTCAAAACTGTAGTAAAAGAGGGCTAACCTGCCACACATTTATATCTTTAACAATATATTTATGAAAGAACATTACAAAACCAACTAGATGTGGTAATTTGTTTTTTACTTTAATTTTTTATGATGTTTTACATGATTTGAAATTTTATGTATGAATAACTGTTTTTGCTAATACTACTAATGTTCGACCACAGATAAAACTTTTGTTCAGGCTTATAAGTTGTATTTCAGTATTGAGACACCAGAACCACTCTTGTATTATCAATCCTTCACGTTTGAAAAATGCACAAGGGCAGTAAACAGCCTCTGCCAGATAGTCCATGAGGAGCTGTTAGCCGGCTGATGCCATATCTTCATTCTTTGTTTACAAAATTGGACAATAAGAATATTTAAATTAAGCTATGCTTGTAACAAAATGAAGACTTGACAGGAAAATTAGTTTTAAAGTTGTCATGTACCAAATTGCAAAATATGATTAAAAACTGAATATGGTCAAAACATAACAAGTAGTGACATCCGTTCAAATTTGTGCAGTTACAGTTTTTAATACATAGTGTTGTGAAACATGAAATTATAACCCAAACCATTATGATCTGCACGTTACTGGAAAGAAATTTAATGTGTTAACACGTATAATTTCACAGTTATATTTCATATGTGGTAGGTTTAAATTAAGAAGGTATAAGCAGTGTAAAAAAAATAAAAATATAAATCGATGATTGAATTAGTTAAAGTACAAACCAAATGCTTTATCTTGATGATGGCCACTCACTAAACTTTTCACGTTCACCATGTGTGATTTATTTCACTTCTTGTGAAAACAAAGCTTTGTTGCTACACGTCTATCTGCACATATAGCAATGACATACTACTTGTTATTTCTCGTACAGATAAGCAATAGAATAGTTTTTATGGTCATATGCAAGATATCACAAGCACATTTTAGACTTATATTTATTTAAAAATGATACAGAGATAGGAAATTATTACTTCTTTAGAGTTTTGGACACAAAGAAAAAGAAAAGAGTTTATATAAAAATATTTAACCTCTAATGTCGTAATTTTGGAAAAGAAGGTTGGTAAATGTGAAATATGGTGTATGAGCAAGTTTTCAAAGAAACTGTCATTTAATTGTAAGAATTATTTGTATACAAAATTAGCCAAGTTGCAAATAACTTTTCAAACCAAGTTTAAATTAAATAAAACTATCTATTTATTTCTGTCTGCATATCCAGAAAATAAGAATAAAGCCCAAGAAATCAGTATGGCATCAACAGAACAGACCTGTTACACACTCATAAATGTAACTTCAGATTCTGAGCCACCAAATGAACTTCAGCTAAGAAGTGACCTTGGTAAGTGGATATTTATTATAAGTATTCTATATAAAGTATCTAACTAATTGTGTTAATAAATACATACCACTAAATATCTATTTCCATTCCATATAACACTGAGTAGGATAGATAAATTTTTGTCCAGTGGTACATGATATACAAGTGAGAAAGTTATAAAATGAAATATCAAAGAATATTTGAGTTAAGTTCCAGAAAGCATAATATACATGTGTATTGATCATCTTGTTCCTATGGTTTTGTCCAATTATTGAAATTGCTAACACTATTTTGGCGTAAGTGTCCCACAATCAAAAATAAGAAAACATGTATTTGATAATTAGACCAGAAATATTTAATGTAGCACAGAAGGCCATTATAGTGTTTGACGTGAATTTCACATGTAAAAAAGCAACAAAAAAAACATTGTTTTGCGTAGTTGCTAAATTTATATACAGTTTTGTTTATAAGGCTTACTAAACAATAATTTTTGTTCTCACATTTTCTCTAATTCTAGTAAAGTAATATTTTAGTTCTTAGTTTTAAGATATATTTTTTAAATTTTAGCATGTTGCACTAAATACCTGAGATTAACTAATACTAAATACCCATACAACTATTGCTTTAAGGTCTTAAGATTGTATTTTACTTCTTCCTCACAGAAAAGGGAGATGTAACAGCTAAAATTGAAGCTCTGAAGAAAACTATTCACCTTATGCTGAATGGAGAAAAACTCCCAAATTTGCTAATGACTATTATACGTTTTGTTCTGCCTCTTCAAGACCATACCATTAAAAAACTGTTGCTAATTTTTTGGGAGATAGTACCAAAAACAACTCCTGATGGAAAACTGCTGCAGGAGATGATTCTTGTGTGTGATGCATATAGAAAGGCAAGCTGTTGCAATGTATTAATTACCCTGTTATTATGATTATGATGGACATACTCCAGTGCCTATAACTGAAGTAACAAAATACTAAATGATCATCTAGTTAACAAGCTGGTTAATAAATTGGCTAAAAATTCAATTTTTTCATAAATAATACATAGAATGTAAACCTTTAGATGTTGGGGGTTTGTGTAATGTATTTTTATTGAATTTTATAGTGATGATTTTTTTTTCGAAATTGTCCTACAGGATTGTAGCATGTTTGATACATGTGCTTTTAAATTGCTTGTTGTAATAGTTTTTATATGACTTGCAGATTTCGTATATATGATGCTTTCAGGATTGTAGCATGTTTGATACATGTGCTTTTAAATTGCTTGTTGTAATAGTTTTTATATGACTTGCAGATTTCGTATATATGATGCTTTCAGTCTTTAAATCTATGCCTAATCTTTACCATCAAATTTTTCTAAGTTGTCAACCGTAAAGTTTGTAATTCTTTGTTTTAGGTGTCCAAGAATTTTTTGGTTCTCAGTGAGGTCCACCACATTGCCCAAGGGCAAAATTGCACGATTGAATTAAACAGTATATAGAAAATATGCTCAGTCATGCTTAAACACATTTTCTTTTAACAATACTTAATTCTACATATAGAAATTTGAAAAATTACAAATTTTGATTTTGTGTTGGTATCATGATAAGGCACTCATAGCCCCTTGGGAGAAAAATCAAAATAGTTGTATTTTAAACCAAATGGTGCCAATTTTAACCTTGTAATATCAATATAATTGTAGTTTTATCTATGTTAACCACGCACTGTTTTGCAACCTCAGTTGTCATAGTGTTATGTAAATTGCATGTATTTCAGTTTTGAGAAGTCATAGTCTAGTGATCTAAACAGTAATTAAAGCACTTTTCTGTTTTTTTCAACTACAACCAATGTGGCTTCCAGTTCAAAAGGCTTGTGTATAAATTAGAACAGTGTGATAAAAGTCTAGCTTGGTAACATTTTGCTAGAAGAAAAGATGTTAGTTAACAACTTCTGCCACAACCACATTCTTAAATTTTTGAAACATTGCAAAAGTTTGCATTATCATTTTACACTATTTGAATTATAATATTTCAGTATGATAAGAAAATAGATGTTTTTGTGGAACAATATCATGTGAATTTCTAGGTTTCATTAGATCATTTTGCACTTGACTCTATGAAGTTATGTTTTGTTGACAAAGCCACTGTTTATTACAGTCTTAACAATAAGCTTTATTGACTTATGCAACTGCTAGAATGGGCAAAAAGAATAGCTGAAAAAACTATATAAATGAGTATAAAACATGTTTAAAACTTGATAAATGTATTAAATGAAACATTCTGATTAACAGTTAAAGTTCGCTTCTTTACCATTGTAGTATGATAAAATAGTTATTTGCATTGTACTTTAGTGATCATAAACACTAACCATGTGAGGTGTTTTTCAAATTAAAACAAAGACAAAATCACAGTTTTGTGAAACCCAAACTACGGGAAAGCTTTACAGGAGTGTGGGAAGACAAAAATCTATAATTGAAATCTACATCAAAAATAAGCATTAGTAATTCATGCTTAAAAAAAAATCATAAGGAAATCTTTTTTTGAATCTTCAAAGCTAACAGTTTGTACAAATATCACATATATTTTATTTAACAGAAGCTGCGTAATCTGTAGAAAGTTCATCTCAAGTTTCCTCGGGTAGTTTTGTATTTGCAACACAATAAAACAATCCACACGACAGGTCTATTGAATATATGCACTTGGGCGTTTTAGAGTTAAGAGCAGTCTTGTGTAGAGATAAGTTACAAGAATGTGATGTTGCTTTACTAACTGTAGATAAGGTGTAACATAAGTTAAGCCTTTCTTGCACTCATTAATGCAGTGAATCAGTTATCTACTTGATTTTTCCTGTAACTATATTATTCTTTGTTAAACATTTTTTTTACAAAATTGGTTGAGATTAATATTCTTAAAAACAATAAATGCTAAATGGAATAAATTATCTTTTCAGGACCTTCAGCATCCAAATGAGTTCATCAGGGGTTCAACACTCCGTTTTTTGTGCAAACTTAAGGAACCAGAGTTGCTAGAGCCACTTATGCCTGCAATTCGTACATGTTTAGAGCACCGACATTCATATGTGCGCAGAAATGCTGTTTTAGCAATTTTCACCATTTTCAAGTATGACAGCTATTAATTTTGATAAGATCTGTGAATTAATGATGTCAATAGTTGCAAAAGACACCCAATATGTTTATAGATGTTTACACCAATAACTCAGTTGTATTTCTTATAATAATAATGAGCTGATGAAACTTGGAATATGATGTGACAGAAACAATTAACTCAAAATATAAGAAAACTAGAGGGACACCCAGTAGAGTGCATACCTCTGCCATGAAGTGTTGAAAATATTTGGCTCTCAAAAAATATTAAAATGTCTCCATATGACCATATTTATTAATGGACATTGACCATTTTTGGCAGAACAATGAGAAATAATATTCTACATATGTACACTCAGTTACATCAAAATCTGATAATTTTTGATAGTTATAGAGCAAAAATAGTGTGAAAAATTGGTCCTCATTTTAACAGATAGGGAATTATTTATTTTTCTGGCCTTGGTGTGACCTTGACCCTCCAAAAACTAATCATTCCTATGTTGGTTCGCAATCCAAATGTATACCAACTTTCGTCCAGATCCATTTAGCTGTTTACAAGAAATCTTGCTGACAAACATACCTATGCAGGAGTAAAAACATAACCTCTGTCCACCTTCGGTGGTCGAGATAATAACTAAAATGTTAAGTTGTAATAGATACATTTCATTAAGTATTCTTCATATATCTGAGTCACTGCTAAGTTCTTGTAGTCTTCTAATTTGATACTATTATTTTTTAATACTGTGAAGTTACTTCAAGAACATGTATTATTGTATTGCTGCATATAGTGAAATTTGAAAATTTGACAAGAAACTCTAATATTCTAAATAACAAATATATATAAAAAATGTATAATATGACTTTAAAATAGTAAATGATTTAAAATGCAGTTATTTGTTTATCTGTTGTGTTTTTTTTAGCTATTCTGTTACTGGATAAAAGTTTAGAAGGACAATAAATGCAAACATGTATAGGATATATGGAAGTGGATATGTGTAATTTGTTAGAAGACTTTTTGAGAACTTAGTAGTTCAAGTTCAATATTTTATGTTCTAATATTTTATTATAATATGAAATATGTTACAAGAGTATTTTATATGTCGATGTAGAAACTTTGACTTCTTGATACCGGATGCTCCTGAACTTGTGGCAAACTTTCTAGAAACAGAGCAGGACATGTCTTGTAAAAGAAATGCTTTCATGATGCTAATTCATGTTGATCAGGAGAGAGCCTTAAGCTACCTAAGCTCATGTGTAGACCAGGTTCATTCATTTGGAGACATCCTTCAGTTAATTACTGTAGAGCTTATCTACAAGGTCAGTTTCAGTAGATTACATATTTTTTTACCATTTCATTAGCATTTCAAAATTGTCAGTAAAGCTATCTTGTTTTTTACTATTTCAATGCGCATGAAGCATGAAAGGAGACAAGGTTTATATTTGAATTTTAAAAAATTGTGTGCGTACATTTTTTTTCAACTAATGGTTTAAATTTTTATATTTCAAATAATTTAAGTCAATGTTCATAATTATTAAAACAATTGTTTTTTAATTAAAGGTTTGACACCTTGATATACAGGGTGATGCAAAAGTTGTTTCCCATAGGAATTGTGAATAACAATATAGAAAAATTAATTACATTTTTGTTTATTAAAGTAAACATTCAAATTGCTGTCTATTAACTTTGACGCACATGTTGATTCCAAGATAATGGCTGCAATTCGAACATTTACTTTAACAACAAAAAAGTAAGTCCTGTTTCTTTATTGTTATTCACAATTCCTACGAGTGCAACTTTTGCGCCACCCTGTATAATGAAGATTTATATTCGTTCTTATATGGGAGTGCATATGCATTGAATGTTAAAGTAATACTTGAGAAAATATTTAAAGATAATTGTTTAACAATGATATATTAGGTTTTCACAATAACAAGCTGTAAAATGAAACTTTGCTTACATTTGCCGAGTAGCTAGCAAGTGTTTATTTTTCATTGTTTTGCATGTAAATATTTTCTTTGTTACCTTTCATTGAAATCACTTCCATACTTCTGTTTGTGCATTTCTTAGCTTCTGTATTTGAACCATTGCCCTCTAATTTTAGTGAGGTCTGTTAATTTATGATATATTCTAATGAAATATTTAACTTATGATATTCCCCTAACTTTTTTTACATCCTGAGACATTAAGTTGCTGTTCATATGAAACTATAGAATATAAGGTGTAAGAAAAAAATAATTCACTAGTTCTGGTTATTTGACTTGGTCATTTCTTTATACCCATGTGTTTCAAAATCTTCTACTATTGTCAAAATATATTGGTGTAACTTAGTACAGTGTCCTGTTTGTAACACCTTGAGTGAGGCTTGTGTTATCTGTACTAATATTTATTGCTAACTGCCAAAAATAGAGGTGTGTGTTGATAATTGGTATAACACAAGTGTTTCGAAACTCAAGTATAGCACCTCATACTTGATTTATTTTTTTTTACTAGTTTTATACTAAGAGTGTGATTTTATAAAAAAAAATCTGAAAATTATTTTTTAGTAACAAAAAAAAAAGATTCCTTAAGACTAGACTACCTGTATCATACTCCTGTATTGACTTATAAAGGAGAAAAGTTAATTATTAGGCCAGAAATCCAACAAACAAAATACTGATATCAATAAGATATTGCAAGTATTGCCACAAATAAAACAACCAGGGAAAATATGCTTCTTTTTTCAATCTATTTTACAGCATTTTTGTGAAAAATCGTGCATTATTATAACCATATATTGTAACCAGTGTGTAATCTTGGTCTTATTATTTATCTGAGGTCAAGCTTTTCACATACTGTAATGTTTTCACATGTGATGCAGTCAGAAAAGTACTGAAATATATGATGATAAATTCTGCTCTAAGGATAACAAAACATAAGAAATAACAGTTTCTTTTTCAAATTTTCACTTAAAGCTTCTGTGTCTTAGCATAAAAATAAAAAAAATATCTATATTTTACCAGTATCTTATTGTCAACATCAATTTTATAAATAACAAATATTAAAGCTTAAGTGTATTATAGAAAAGATTATATAACAAAATAGGAATTTTTTATGAGTAATGTAGACTCTTGTATAGATGCAGCAGTTAACAAGTTCACATCAATGACATGTGGATCTAATTTAACTTTTGAGTGGATCCTGTTTCTACCTAAACTTGTATTTCTTATTTTTGCTCAATGAAATTCATTTTACTTTCTAAATGCTGTAAACTAGACTTGGTCAGTAAGTCTGATCTAAATTTTAAATTTTAAAGAATATTTCATTATCCTTGTTAATAAGAATTAAGAATAAGGTTTAGGAAGGCAGATTTTATGATTTTGCAAATAATATTTCCATTAGTTTTTGGGAAAATTATGCACTTTATGATAAATACTTGAAACATGAATGACTCTTTAAATAGAGTAGAAGCATACTTGCCTACTGCTGTGATTTTGCCATAACTATTAAGTAAAATGCTTTCCAGCTATGGGGCTACAGTAATTTTGAAATAGCTATGGCAACTATGGGATCATACTGTGTACTCGGTTTGTTCAAAGTCCTTCATCTGCATCTACTTATAAGCCCAGTTGCTCTGTTGTGCATGCACATACTTTTAAAGGGAAGCAAGCCACTGGCCATTGTGTGTTGAGTGTGGGTTCTCAATTGCTGCCCATAAAACATTTTTCTAAGGGGAAATAAGTGATCATGACAAAAACAAGGTAGCAAGGATAGCTAATCAGACTTTCCAAAAGGAATACACCGTGCTACTGACAAATCCCCTTTCACTAATGAAAATTGACCAGTTGATAGGTGAACACTAGTGAGAGCAAACTTTATGGGCAGGCAGGTCTGTAAAAACCAGTTGGTGAATGCCTTCAGTTCAGTAGCAAACATCAAATCATTACTACAGATACTCTGTATAATGTGAATTGTTGGAAATATCACTTTGAATAACATAAAAAAGCTAGTGTGTTAAGGTAGGAAAAAGCAGTGTGGTGATAAAAAGTAAACTGTGAGATGTGAAATGAAGACAAGCTTGTTTACATTAGATGTACTAATAGCATATTTATATTGCAGAAAAAGACAAGGCTCTGTATGTTTAATTGTTTGGTAATAATAAAAAACACATTATTGACATGTCACTATTTGCAAATTAAAACAGCAAATTTATCAACTCTACTGTTAATATTCTGTTAGTTTTATTAATTATTTTGTTTGCCAGGTAACTTGTAGGTTATATTATAAGGCTTTAATGAATAATTTGGACAGATACCAAAAAAAAACTTTCAAATTCATGCAAAATATGTAGTAAGAATGCACAATTTCATTCCATTTTTGTGGTTGTAATACTGTCACAGCCCACTGTAGGTCATTCTGATATTTTACAAAAAATAATTTTTTCTGATGTATGTACCTTAAGAAATTTTATTTAATGAATAAAATAGAGAAAACATTAATATTCATTAAATGCTAAAAGTACATTTCATCTAATAACCTTATATTGATTCACTGTTAATATAAAATCAGTGTTGAATGTGTAACATGGCTGATATATATCTTTCTCACTTATTTAAGTGTATTTTTTGAAAACTTTCTTATTTATATTATAAGGTTTGTCATGCCAATCCAGCTGAGCGTTCCCGTTTCATACGATGTATTTACAACTTGTTGAACTCAAATAGTCCAGCTGTGAGATATGAAGCTGCAGGAACTCTAGTCACCCTATCAAGTGCTCCAACAGCCATTAAGGTAGAACACTTGTTCCACTGCAGATTAGAAATTTGTTTTTATTTTGACAACAGTACTATTTTGATATACAAAACAGTATTTTAATTTTTGTCCACATTTACACAATTTCTTAGTTTCTGTAGTTTTGATGACTAGTTCATAACAGATTAAATTGCCTATTTTTATACTGTTAAATACATTAAAGTATTGAATGTCAGATTAAACCTGTAAGTGTTTAAAAGGCCAACGTTTGCAGAGTAGTGTAAATAATTAGAACAATTTTGTAGATATTGATATAATTTTATGCATGGTTACTTTTAAGAAATCTTGTCATTAAAGTTGTTTTTAGCAAGTTAATAGTATTATCAATTTATTTTTAACAATTTTTACCTTTGTACAAAGTTTTAGGTGTTTTCTTGTTAAAAAAAAAGAGGTTTCTTAACATCTATTATTAGGATAGCTCAAGTCAAATCAGTCACTTCAAGAAGGTTACTGACTTGATCTTTTCCAATTATGATAGTAATTGGTAAGGATGTTTGTGTCAGAAATGTAAGATTTAGCTAAGTTTCACATCAGTAGATCACCAAATATTTGACCTGAAATGGCTCCCAGATGAGACCAAAAACTTTTTTTAGTGAAAAATATATAATTGCCGGAAAGCTCTTTGTGCTCTAGCCAAATATGAAACTTTTTCCTACATTCATAATTTTGACTTTGAATTGTTAACCTTTAACATCATTTGGACTGAACTTCACACCATCCTCTAAGTTTGTACTCAAAAGTCAGGTGGGGAACTTGATTAGATCAGGAGGTATTCACACATTACAGTCTATCATTGTAATTTTGTGGGTGATCAACTTAGAAACGACTGAAAAGAAAAAACAACTTGGAGAGGATAGAGGGTTAGGTCAGTGTATTAAAAAACTTGTATTGAACTCCTCTAATGCCTATCAACAGTTCAGTGTGCTGATGCTATCTTATATGATAACAATTCAGGGAGGAAAACTGGTATAAAATTTAATTGTACTCGTATACTAGTTATTCTCATTCTTGGAACTCTTTTTTTTTCCTTGAATTCTGGGGCCTCCAACCCTAGCCCTTTTCTTATAGTCCCCTTAATGCATTTAAGTTTCTTCTTTGGATACCTTTTCTGGGACAAATTGTAGCCACAGAAG